TGTTTTGTGTTTCCTGTTTTGGTTGTATTAATTGCCATTCTATAGGTACTCATTTATTATTTTTGTAGGATGTTTATGTCTTGTGTGAATTTCACCCCACTTGAAGCCTGAAACCCCAAATTTTGAACTGTACCATCTAACTAGATTTGACGCTCTTGCACTTGACCGATAATTGTCTTCATGTCAACCGTTTTGTATTTCAAGAATCGGCCGACAAGAAATTTTTATCCCCAACGTCTTCGATTTTGTATTTTTTATTCAAAGATTCCTAAAGCTCCTCCGTTATTTTGATAGAGTTGTACACGTTGTACAACATATCAACCAATTCATCAAATAATTTTTATACAAGAAATCTGAATGATTCCATGCCTCAAACGAACTGACAGCTTGTATATCTGAATTTTTCTCCGACTTTAAAGGATTTTTCGTCAAAAACCTCACAAGGTTCAATGTAGTAAGATATATGTTTATTGTGTTTTTGTCCTTATTTTCATGTGTTTTATGTGCTTTAGTTTAGTACTTTTAGGTCCATTTTAGTGTCGACCAGTCCATTTTATCGTGTTTCGTGCATTTTTACTTCCATATTGTGTTTTTGTGGTTCGGCGTATTTTTCTTGTCTTTTTAGTGTGGGTAGGTCCACAATATTCGAGTTTGGGATTACGAGCCATTTCCGAAACATTTTCGAGCCACGTGAACTATTTCCGGACCATTCCGAGCATATATATTAATTGTGTGGTGATATCGATTTGAGCATTCCAAAACGAGGAGAAAAAGATTTGAGGAGCGTGAGTCAAAGTTTCGAGTCAATCAGAGAAGCGTGCGAGAAGTTAGAGCGAATCGAGCATCAAGAGACCTTGACGGGACTGGACCCGAGCCCTGCTCGCGCACGCCCGCGAGTGCCTCTAGTGTCCAGCAACTCGCGCCCGCAAAGCAGCTCGCAAGGTCCCGAGTTCTCCCAAGCGCGCACAGTGCCCGCGAAATTCCCAAGCTCGCGCCAGCGTAGAGGCGCCAAGGCCGCGAGTCCACCTTTCCCAGCACTCGTGAGCGACCTCGCGCCCGCAAAATCCCCTTAGCTCGCAAGTTCCCGTACACGCCCCTGCTGCGCGCGAGTCTCTCTATCCGCGCCCGCGAAGACGACCCCAGCCCGCGAGTGCCGCGCCTGCTCCTGCCCGCGAAACTCCACCCGCGCCCACGAAGCTCCCCAAAGCCGTGAGTCCAGCGCCCATGCCTGCTTAGCCCATGGACTGAGCTCACGAAATCCGAGCCAAAACTCGCGAGTTCGAGCTTACCTGCGAGTTTTCCTCATTAAATGTGTGTGTTTTAATGTGTGTGTGGTGTAGCTATAAATAGACTTGATGCTTTGTAATTTGAAAACAATTCTTCATTTGCTAAAATTTTCCTTTTAATTTTTCTCTCCTCCTTCTCTCTAGTTTTCTTTCTCTCTTTAAGGGCTATAAGACCCTATTTTTATTGTAATATTTCTCCATCAAGATTACAACTTTTCGGCTTATTTCTTCTCGTGGATGCACTAGAGACTTGGAGACTTCGTTTAAGATTCGATTGGAGACTTAGTTGAAGGTCTAGGATCTCGTAAGTCTTGCTTGTCTTTGCTTATAGATTTTTCTAAGATTAAGATAAGATCTTCCATGAGTCGATTATGTTATCATCCTCGTAGGCTAGGGATTATGTGATTGTGTTGTTGATTGCGTGAGCGACAATTGATTGATAGCTCGATTAATTGATCGAGAGTGACGATTGCTTGATTGCATGTTCCCGAACCTATGAGTTTCTTCTTTCAATCTCGGGTCTTGGGTACCTTGTTATTTTTCTCTCTATTTTTCTTTTTTGTGCAATTTGAGGACTTGCTTGCTTTAGAATTCAAATCTTGCTTTAGTCTAGTTTAAAATTGTGATTTCTAGCGTCATTCAACTACCAAAATGCGAGTAGAATGTTTAGGACTTTTTATTTTCCTTTCGTGTGAGTCAATCGTTGTTTGAATCCGTGTCCGAATAGCCTTCTTTTGAAAACGACCTGAGTCTGGGTAGCTCGGTTACCACTTACCCAAAAATACTACAAACAATATACCAACATCTTTGTTTGTCAACGCTTAAAATTCAAGTGGTTAAATTTTTTCGGTTTATCAGCGTGATTCACTGGAACTGCTATAATATCACTTGTGAGTTATTCCACATCGTTTATATAGAGAACATAGGCCTAATTTATAAGTCTAATGGATTACTTCTCCTTCCACCAATTGGTTTTGGGATGAAACCCCACTTGGGCTTCATCTGGATTTTCCCTGTTGGTGCGATTCATTTGCGTGGGACCGCATCCGTTTTTCTCATGTTTCTTACCGGAACATTTAACAAAATGAGAAAGAGAAATTGTGTCCATCAATATCGAGTTTGTTTTAAGATTATTATAAACTTTATCGAAAAAATAAAAATATGATGGCTAAATAATATAATATTGAAGCCTATAAGAACATAGTGTTCTTATACTCGTCTTGTATGTGCATCTGTTTTACATGATACAACGGCAAAACTGAATAAACTTCGGAGAACTAGAATGATGTCTCGACCAAAAACTTAAAAGAAAAATAAAGCCTTTAAGAAATCTTGGTTATTATTTTTTTTTTCTTTTCTTCCTTTTGTGTGTCTTTCTCTTCAAAGAACACCACTCTGTTTATATGCCTAGCATTAATTAATTTTTTGCATTTAAACAAGAATTAATAACGTGGAGTTAAAAGTCATGCAACATTAAAAGCTAAGTGACAGACCGAAGTTGCAAGATGTGAATTAAACGCTCGATTACAAAATTTAATATTATATGATGAATTTCATTCACATTTTCCAACAGTCTGTCTATCTATGTGATTTGACTACTTAAAAGTTAAAACTTCTAGAATTCTCCTATATCTTGATAGCAAGTTTTCATAGACAACCAAATAAGAATGAAGGACTTTATATATATGTTACTTTATATTAAAGCTATTGTTAGGCAGAATTAACGGTTAGTCGATCATACTCTTTAAAAATATATGTATTTTTAAAGCAAGATCTTATATTCTAAAAATAATACAAATAAAATTAAGACATTTTATAGTATAAATATATGTATATTTATTAAATAATTATGATGGAACGACCTGGATAATGGCTACAATGGCTACTCTTTATGCTCTTAGACAAGGTCTACATGTAGCATATTCCAATAAATGGGCTAATGTGGTGTGCAAAATAGAAGATAAAGGGATGGCAAGAGCTCTGGCTGCAAATTTTGATTTTCCATCCATGTATAATGCTATTGTCGAGGACATTTATTTTCTTGCAGGTTGCCTTAAGCCTGTCTCTTTTGTAGTGGACAATTGTGTTGTTCCGGTTGTATGGTCTAAGGTCAATTTGATAAAAGAGGGAGACATCAATATGTGATGCACCTCCCCTTTTCCTTCCTTTGTAATTAACCCGTTGGTTAATCGAACAATGTACCTCTTTGAGTTAGTTTAATATATATTTGATGTTTGAAAAAAAAAAAAAGACCTGGATAATGGTTATACTGGCTTACCCTAGACTAAAGATTAAGCTAAATCAATCAAGAATTTGTGGAACTTGGATTGGGTATGGAAAAATGTGTATTGTTCTCTCCTAGAAGTTCGTATTGAAAAATAAAACTAACTCCGTTTTAAAATATGTATAGTTTTGAGTTGAATTTTTTTTTATTATTTATCATTTTAAGCTATAATTTCAAATTTATACTACATCAAACTTTTAAGTATGAAAAAAGAATAATTAAAAGAATAAGAAATATATAAAATAAATGAATTATGAAAAGAAATGAGATAAGTAGGATAAATATTAGGTAATATATGAAATAATTCTTTTATTTTTTAGGATCACAATTATTTGTGGCTATTAAGCACTTGGTTTTTTAGAACTGTGACAATCCTATTTTTGTCAAAAGAAAAAAAAAAAACAAATGAGACTCTTCATTCTTGTATATAGTATTTGGCTCCTATAGTGAGGCTTGTCGGGTCAACTTCCAAGACGTCTGTTTCCCTCCCGATTGAAGATTGGGGGAGTTCAAATTTGAGCTGAGACTTGTCTCCTCGTTAGATTTGACTAACCACTTGAGTAAGTCGGAGATTTTACTTCTGGGGCTTAGATCTGCAATTCTCTTTTGTTTTTTGATTCTGGTGTTTGACTCGTCCCGAGAATTAGCTCGTGTGTTGGTTAGTGTGGTTATACCGGTATGCTCGCGAGTAGGGGAGGTTTTATTCTATTGTTTATTTAGATATGTGTTGTTTGTGGGTGTGTTATTCTCCATTATTGGAGTTTTAAGTCTCCACTTGTGGGAGTTCTAGTTTTGTGCATTAATTTAGTGCCTTAGTTTGGGTTTGCGGCTCTAGAATGCCTGGGAACAATAGTACTCCGTCGGGGTAGTCCTCCGCTAGTTGAGTTTAGTAGTTGTCTGATTCAATTGTTTGATTGTTTTAACCTGTAAATATTTGTGTTTCATTAATTATAATCTATTGTTTAGAGAAAAAATAAAAAGAAAGAAAAAAAGTATATAGTATTTGGCTAAAAAACTAACCTTTAAGTTTTTTCGCTCTCTTAAGACAAAATCCTCAATTCCTTCCACTGAAACTCTCGTTCGTTTGCTCTTTCGTTGTGCCTCCCCTCAACCGGCTCAGCACCTCCGCGAGGTCAACCAAAACCTGACCAGGCTACGCGCTTCTGTTGTGACGTGGTCCCTTCTAACCAGCGTGGCGCCTTTCTCTGCACCGAGTGGGAGTGGCTATGGCGGTTCGTGGAGTGGACTTCTGATGGGTGGGTCGTAGCGTTGTTGGCACCGAGTACTATGTGGTAGTGGTTGGAGCTGAGGCCGACGATTCCTTCTCCCTCCTTTCCTATCCTCTTCCCTGGTGTTGGGGGAATAGGTTGTTCCGACGGTGCTTGGTTTCATCTTTGGTCGTGCCTGCCTTGGTCACCGATTGTTGTGGGGAGGGGGTGGGTCGCAAGTCTACGGTCGCTGTTGTGTGGGAAATCTTTAGGAGGGGGTTCGGCCCACTGTGAGGTCGTATCTAGTTAGCCCTAGTGTTACTGAAGTTTCTAGATTTGTCCTTAGCTTTCTGTCTTCTTGAGGGGTCGCCTACGGGTGTTGGTCCGAATTAAAGGTGGAGGCTTGGAGTGATTTACTGGTTAGAGGGGAGGTCTTTAGTCTATTTAGGTGTTGTCTTGTTGTCTTGCGGTTGGGTTTGTATTTGTAGATTTGTCTGTTTTGGGTTGTTTTTTATTCTCACAGTTGTAAAGTAGTATTATCCACTTGTGGGAGTTTATTTTATAGGTTTTCTAGTTATTAGTTTTGTGGGTGCATTTAGTGTAGTAGATTTTAAGCTACAGTCGTCTTCTATGAGTATGTCTCTCTGAATTCAGTTGTATAGTTGTGTTCATGATTGTAATTATGTGATTTTTATTTATAAAACTTTTGTCGTTTAAAAAAAAAAAAACATATGTTATATTTTATTTCTCTCTCCATGTTACCTTTTCCCATAATTAAATTCTTTGGATTTGGATCCCCAAACCAATTAGACCCTTGATTTTCCATTTGGTAGCACACAATTCATTTATATCACTCATCCCTTGTATTATTAGAACTTAAAAGCTTGGTGTGTAAAGTATTGTGACGGCCATCAAGTGCAATCTTGTGTAGCATGTTAGGTGATAGGTGATTATAAATTACTGCAAGAATATCATCCCGAGTCAACTATCACTGCCCATACTGTGGACATTTTGTACATCACCATTAAATATAGTTTATGGTATTTTTTTTATTTGCAAAACAATTCACAAAGTTTTACTTTAGTTATAATTTAAGCATTTTTTTTTACAGTTCAAGGCATGACTTTAATTTTTGCAAATAAATGCACGAACCAAGGAATGAAAAAGTACAACCTNGCATAAGTTGTAATTATTTTTTTATTTGCGGGGCAAGAAATATCTAAAAATAGTGCACCCATTAGTGAAACTTTATAATGAGTTGCAAATAGTCGGGGCCAAAATAGAACACCCACTAGTTAGCTTAGAAGTTAGAACTATTCAACAACTGCAGAAGCCAGAATGTCATGTCAGACAGTTAGTTGTGGGTGAAATATAGCATGATTAAAATGTCCAACTATAGTAACTCTCAACTAACAGCTGATAAAATTAAATGCTCGATCGAGATCATGCTCTGAAATGAAAACCATGTCCATGTGCAATTATATTATCACTTTTTCATTAGTAGTTTTTCATAACAATTTAAGTGCTGGAAATCGAATAAAGTAGCTGTTGATCTGCTACAAACACTACTGATGAAAAACGTGTTATTTGAATCCATAACTCATAGCACTAATACAAGGTGTTATTTGAATCATCCCATTCAAATAGTTCCATGTAAAAATTAAATAAAAAATATAACACTAAATTATAAGTATGCATTATTATTGAGAAAAATCAATTGGCTAACCATTGGACAACCTAACACCGAAATTTATCTAAAAATTGTTGCATCTACTAATTAAATGAGACAAATGAAAGACAAAAAGGCCATTAAAGTGGGTGAGATGTATTAACAAACATATTTTCAGCTTTCCATACCACATTTTTTCTGCAACTAAAATAACCCCAACTAAAAAAAAACCCCGTAAATTCGAACAATGATCATTTTTTTTAAGCTATTATAGCTCTTCAAAACCCACAAACAATTCCGACCAAGGTTACGATTTCTTCAAATATGTTTCTATTCTTCACCAATCAACATGATATACTACAATTATTATAAAAAACAGTTTGTTCGTTCGTTCTTCCTGTCATCTTTTTTTCCCCCTATTAATGTGCTACATAATATACATTTTTAGCGTCAATGAACTCCCTAAGACAAACACGGTTCGAATACACAATAATTATGCAATATACAGCCAACAAATGCACACGCCAATTCACTGCCATCAAAGACCAAAAACAACACCGAAAGTAAAGCCCCCGAGTAGTAGGTGAGAAAATTGCAACCCTTTCAAACGTGTTTAACACACACAAACACACCAAGAGATCAACTCCGAAGTTCAAACATGTTTTAACACACACACAAACACACCAAGAGATTAAAAGGGGCCGTTAGACGAACATTAATTGCCTGTGACGAGAAATGGATGCTGGCAGACCCCACACTCTATGGTCTCTGAACCAGAACTCGGCACTTGAACCTATGTCAATTACCAAAAGCGAAAATGATCAAAATACAAACCATGATACAGATAAATCCGCTCAAAGCGGATTTTTTTGTTAATCATGGTTAATTTTGAAAAAAGTTGGTTATTAGTGGGATCTTGAGTTTATATTAAAATAATAAATAAAATAAAATAATAAAAGTTGATTTAATGTAAAAATAAGAGAGAGATGATGTGAAGTGATGGTTAGTTAATTACGTGAGTGGATAAATAGTAAATTAAAGTTGATGTGATATGTAAGAATAATTGATCGGTATTATTTAATTATATTGATAATATTGAAGACAGTGATGTTGAGTTAAATTTTGAGTATAGATTGAGTTTTTTAATAAACAAACACACCCTAAGCAATTTACTAGAAATTTGTGGCGAGTAAGTATTTGAACCTGCAAATGGACTGTACATGTTGGACAGGCAACCTCTTTCATTCGCCTCCCAGAACTGTCTGATTTGGAGCCTGACGAAAAATTTAGAAAAATAAAATAAAATGAGAAATTGAACTTTGATGCCAATATGTGGTAGACATAAAGCCCAACTCATGCAAAATCATTCAGACAAATTGACCCAACATCTTTCAGTAGTGAACCAATTTGATTACCACCTTAATCAACCGTGTTGGGAACTAAAGAATGGTTACCACAAGAATGATAAATATTTTAGAAGCAAGTGAAATAAAGAATCCACGAGACAACAAATTATTATTGTTAAAGCTAAAAATGTGTATTTGTAATCGTGTTGCATTCTTATGAAATGCCCAATCATATACACCAGTGAATTCGAGAGAAAGTAGGTGAACTTTGGGGCATTTTAAATCATTGACACTTCTCTAGAAGCTTCCTCAACATACCCACTTTGCATCTGGAAACAAAAATCAGAGTGGTAGGATAACTGCTGTTTTCAATTTTCAGACAAGTGGTGTTAACTTTTCCTGAGTGCTTAAATAATCAAAACCACAAGGTTGCATTTGGAAAAGGATTTGGAAGGAAAGTACCACAAAATAAACTCATATAAAAAGAACATGAAAACGACCGGAATGACAAAAAAATAACTCAAAATATTCATTGAATCATGAAATTACGTAAACGAGCTCAATCGATTTCTTTATATTGGATTTGAAGTTCGCAAAGACAACAAAAACTCGTGTATGAAGCAAGAAAGAGATAGCATTAGGGCCAAAAGCTGGAGCAAAAAGAAAGAGTAAAGAAATTCCTAGAAGTGCCACCAAAAACTATAACAAACTAAGCTATGCAACTAACACTAAAGCAAAAGATTAATGGGCAAACCAGAAACATTTTTTGCAGCTAAATGCACAGACAGATGCCACAAAAGAATACCAGCTGACATCACTTTTTTATATGATTCAGCGAGAAATATTTGAAGTTTACCTGACACCTTGCAGCTTCTCTCCAGCTCCTCCTGATAATATTAAAAAAAAAATCCATGTGAGAACGTATTATATAATATTCAAGTCAAGATGTGAAAATAGTCTAGCACTAAATTCCTAAGAAACAAATGCACATTGCAGTATTGCTACAAACAGAAATTTCCAAATCAACACTTCAGCCAACACAATAGATATAATTACATCAGTAATGTTCCAGAAGGAAAGAATAAGGCTACAGTCTAGCTGAGCAACAATTAACACAAAATAACACCTAAAATGGGTATTTATTGAACTATCTACACCAGTAAGGCCGAAAAACTACTACATTGTCAAACAAAAAAAGAAATAAATTACATGCAGTCCTCTGTTCATCTCTTAAAGGTATCTCACCTGAAGTTTCTTGGCAAGATCGTCATGGCTTTGAACGACACTAGGTCTGCTGGCAGCTTCCTTGGCTTTACTAAGCCTGCGAGAAACTTCGGCCTACAGAAATGTAAATTTCTTAATATTTGTTTACAGACATTTATACACTCACCAAAGGTAACCATAACAAGTACGACAAATATACATATATAATTTTTTTTTTCCAAAAACCTAGACCAATCTCCTTGCAGTTTCTTTTCTTCCTTATTCCAACTCTCTTTTAACATCACGGAAAGTAACAAAGAAAATCATTTTAAACTACAGTAACTAGGAGGATGATATATAATGGGGAAAAACCACAGACAACCCATACCATGCATCGATCACAAACTCTAACAACGGGAGCATTCTCATCAGCTGTAAGAGCAGTTCTACCGTGCGTGCACTTGTCACAAAATATATCCCCACAGTTCCTGCAGTGATGCTGAAAACAGATGCCATCATGAGAAAATCATATTTTATAATATGAAACCATGCCAAGTTTGTATGTGCAAAACACAGCTGAAGGCAAGAAATTCATTCCAAGCTAAGGAAGCAAGACGACAAAGAGGAGAAGAAAAAAATGAATAAGACATACCCTTCGCACAAAAGCACCAAAGTCTGTTCCACAAGCTGTGCACTTTGTTACTGCTTCATCAGGGACCTGTTCAAGTTGTTCCAAACCCACGTTAGATATTAGAAAATTATTGATTATAAAACTTCTGCATATTCACCATGACATAACAATCACAGTTTGAAATCACAATAAATATAACTTGCAAGAACTTCAAAATTTACCCAGTGATCTTTCTCCTCGTTGACAGGCTTTATCAAGTTCATGAAATCAGCAAAACCTTTCTTCTTCTCTTGAGGTTGTTCAGCAATCTTGGGATATTCAGAAGGACGGCTTCTCTCACTCATCTCCTTATACTGTAGTTTGTCAAATTTAAATCATCTTAAACAATTTCATTTCAAATTTATTATACATATCGCCACAAGATATGCATGGGTCTATAAAGTCATGAGGATGGAGAAGGAAAATAAGTGTCGAACTACTTGCTGCCACATTCAGCAACTGCAAAATTTTCAACACACACAAAAAGAAAAGGAAAAAAAAAATAAAAAATACACAAGCCCGCTTTTGCAAGACTAAACACTTCAAACCTGTACGATTGCAGCAGTAACTGTATCCAAAATGGTGTTGGTGGTATAACTATTGGACTGCAATCTAATACGCCTTGGTTCAATATCCACAGAACTTTTTGACCAAAACGCAAATGTTGATGAATCAAAAGCCTAAACAAGGAAAGCAAATGGAAACTGAGCAGTCTGAACCAGAGTGCCAGAAGAACAAGATAAGGAAAAGCCACATGAGATCTTATATTATAAACACAGAGAGAAGCAATTCATCTCTGGTAGTGCGCACTCAATAAGTCTAGCACAAACAAGACCATCTAGTCAAATCAAAATTTTCTTATACCAAATCAGCAGTCATAATCTACTTATTTTGTTAATGTATCTTCCACCATGACTTCATTAACATTTAACTTAAATCCACTTCACTATATCAGAGATAAAATTTGAAAAATGTGGTGGACGAAAACTCATTTCCATCACGCACTAAGAATTAAGCTTCTGGCGGGAAGAGCTTATTGTTAATTGCCGTAGCAATAAAGACCTAATGCAGTCCTTCATAACACAAACCCAACACCTTAGTAGAGAAAGATAAAAAGAGGAAGTTATCATACTTCACATCTGGTTATTGAGTCGAGAAGATAAATCCTTAATATACGACTGGTACTTGGGTCCAGCATACGAATTCCATCCAAGCCAATCTGACAGAAAAAAGTGCATAAAGTTAATGCTCATATGATACCTCACCTAATGATAATAAGCAAGGTAAATTATATACTTATTGCACATTCTAGTGAAACACCACAAAGCAGCACTAGACTGGTAAGGAGATGAGATAATGTTAATTAATTACTTTAACGAGAGAAAAAAATATATACCCGAATACATAATAACGGAAAAGTAGTTGATTTTTAACTGTTGGGCTGCAAAGTAAATAGTCTAAATATATTATCAAGTTAACGAATTCAGTATGATCCAACGGTAACAAAACTAATGTTTGACAAGCTTATACATTATCCAACACACGGTACTTCAAACCTAAGAATATTTAAGGCTAACATGTTAACATGCTGAATAACAGCAAATGCCATAGTTTCAAATAAATAAAACCAAAAGCAGAGTATGATAGGAATTTTACCAATATTTGAACTATATAACAGAATAACAAGTGTAATCTAATTGAATCAAGACTAGAATTACACGGTCCGCTACTTTGGTCATCGACGAAGAGTAAGAGCCCTATTACTGATATTATTAATACCACCGGCCCCCAATCGCAAAAAATAGTGACATCATCATCTAAAATGAGATTGCTTCCCAGCAACGCAGGGCCACCCCTTCAGGTAAGGGTAGCGATACATAAATTCCCTTGTATAATAGCAGTTTTGATGTTATCAGCACATATGTCATGAGGTCATAACTAAATGCAATAAATTTTCATTTAGAGCATGAAGGAGGAAAAAGAAATAACCAAAAGATATATCCTTTTAATAATATGACCAGATCTTAATGGGCGTCTGCACAACATCTACAAGTGGACAAGGCCAAAACATGAAAAACTACACTGCCTTAATCCATGTTTGGGTGTTTAATATCCATTTTCACTAAACTTACTTCAAATTTTCTAATTATACCCTGGTCTGATACACATCACACTTGATAGGGTAGGCATGTTTTTACTGGAGAGGAGTCAAAGTTATATCATCCAACTATTTAGTGTGATATTTGTTGTTTGCATACCAGTCGAATTTTCAGGAAAATACAACAACAACAACAACAACAACATACCCAATATAAATAAATAAATCATACCACATAAAGACAGCATGTGAAGCAAAAATTCTGGCATGGGAAACAATTGCTAGACATATATAACAGTACCCATAGAAAATATGATGCCTCAGCAGCTCCTTATACTATAGGAGAAAAAATAAGTAAATAAAGTAAGATCCTGCCATATAAAACACACAATTGAGCATAATCACAGTTCATCTCAACAAATATATTGCTAGAACAAGTGCACCAAATACAAGAACTACTTCACATACATGTAATGACAGCTCTACGAATAACATTCTCAGTGTATGCAACATTTCAAGCAAGTTCCTCTAAACAAACCTGGCAGAGAACATCCATGGTGCTTTGTCCACCACTCTCGGCCAACAACTTCACTCTGAATTTCTGCACCCCACCCTTTGCATCCTGCTGTGTGTCCGCCTTTGGAACCGCCCTCACTACCTTCAGACCAGAATTTGATGGCGATCTATCTTTGCCTGATGAAGAAGAATATCCAATTGGCCTACCAAAATCGTCAAACCCAGACCAAGTTGAAGACTTTGGAGCTGTTCCTCGAGCTCCGTACGGCTCACTACTTCCCCTGTAAGCATAAACCCCTTCATTATTCCCATACAGGCTGTCGTTCCCATACCCACTATCCGCCCGTTTTCCATACAATTCGGCTCCCACATCCGACCTGCTCCGCCCTAAATTCACATCATGATTATCGTACTGTGTCTCGTAAAGAGATTTACTGAACTGAGGGTATTGAGGAGGGAGGTGGATAGATGGGTAAGGCGAATTGGGGGAAACGGGATTAGGGTTGATGTTGGAGGCGTAATCAGGGGCAGGCTGATCGTAAGACGGGTGATAGGACGGCGATTGGGTTTGGGCTGGGGGTTGGTGGGGCCCGTGGACTTCGAATTGCGGGAAAGAATAGGCCGACTGAGGCTGAGAATACGACGGCGGCGGCGGCGGCGGGAGGGGATCCGAAGCCTGGGGGAAGGATGGATAGGATGCTGGATTGTGGTGGTACGCGGCGGAATGATCGGCGGGTGGAGGCGGCGGTGGAGGGGTGTATGCGTTGGCGGAGAACGGCGGTGCTGATGCGTAAGACGGCGGCGCGTGGTAGAGGGATTCGATCGGGTTCTGGTTCAGGCCCGGGATTGGATTTTGATTCGGATTCTGGCTCTGCGGATAGGGTTGCTGAGGGTAGTAGGGGACTGAGGTGTAGTCAGCGTTTTGCATTGTCTTGATGATCGGGAGAGGAATATTCCGGCGACGGATTCAACCGGTTTAATTTTCTGGGCGGCAATTGGAGATTTGACTGCACTATTGCAGAGAGGAGGGTCTTTTTGTGTGCTGGGAGGACACAGGTACCAAAGAGGAAGCAGATGAGGTGAGAAGGTGATGAAATGAGAACAGGCTTTTTAGACTACAAATATGCTTTTGCAAACACGCTTTTAGTTATATTTTGCATTAATTAAGTTGGTAATTATCCCCCTCCCCTTATATATTAATTCGGAATGTGCCGAGCTTAAGTGGTTGGCTCGCATGCTTCGGGATCCTATGTGGTAAAATTACATGTATTAGGTTTGGGTAGATTTTAATTTCCTTCCAATCCATAATTGGATTATCCATAAATATGTTGATTATTTATGGTTATATTACATGTAGTAATTCCATTTTAATATCATTTCTTATTATAACTATTGAATTACAAAAATATTTTAAACGTTAATAACTTTTGTATTTTTTATCAGTTTTACATATATAATATATCAAACTAATCATTTCTTGATGAGCTTCGATTTAACATCTATATTATATGTATAAAAAGATAAATTACATTTATATTGTAACAATAATATTTTTTAATATTGATTAGAAAAATAAAATTTTTTATCAATTAATATATTTATATTTCAAGTATTTATATGATATAAGTTATAAAAATCATGATAATATAACACATGTAAGTCGTTCAAGTAACAAATGTCGTTCTAAAATATATAATAATATATATTTTTTTGTAAAAAAGTAAATAAAATTTAAAACAATTTATTTCTCATTAATTTTAAAATTTAAGAATAATTTTTTAACAAGCACCCGTGTAATACACGGGTGTTGTATTAGTTAGATTTTATAAAGTGTAATGATGCAAAAATTGTTACATCTATTTTATAATAGTCGCATTAATTAAATATTGTCAATTATATGATCAACTAGTACAATACTCGTATATTACACGAGTGTTTGTTAATAAATTTATATTTAAAATTAAAAATAATAAAAAAAATTGTTTTAATTTTTTAAATTTTTTTTTGAATAACAATATTACCATTTATGTTTAAAATAACACTCATCACTTATATGGCTTGTCATCTTATATTATAATAATTTTTTAAAATTATATCATTTAGTAACTTTGTAGTTAAATTGATTTAAATAATTTTATTTTTTAATTAATATTAATAGGTATTTTAATTTTTTATTATAAAAATAAATATAATCATTTATTCTGTATGTACAGTATAGTTGTCAAATCGAAGTTCATTAAGACATGATTAATTTAAGATATTATGTATAAAAAATTGATAATAAATAAAAAAAATAGTAACTTATAAAGCTATTTATAATTTAAGTTAGTAATTTTTTCATACTTGTAAAAGAAATATGAAGAAACAAAAATGGTTGATGAACATAATTTATGCCTCATAAATCACATTTAGAATATGCCTCAAATAAGGATTAACCTCGTGCAGTTGGAAAGCTTCAGGCAGAGTGACCGAGGACAAGTGGACAACTAGGCAACCCAGAAAACTAAATCTTGAACACCATGGTATTCTCCATATAAAAAAGAATGAGGTACAACTGAAACACACTTTACTCTATTTTCTAAGAATTATCTAAATACATACATCATATTATTTCCCTTTCCGATCACTAACTTGAGCGTCGGGATGCTCACACTGGGAGCTCATGTCGGCCCTTTTTTTGCAGGTAATCAACTATTCTTGGACGATTAAAAGGTTTTAGTAGCCATTTCAACCTACGACGCATCATTATTTCAAGAATAAATAGTTAGATCTGAATAGAAAAATTTGTCACTTCTATCTAAGTGGTAAGATAAGATGTTATGAAATGAGTTAGTTAGGATAATATGGATTAAACATTTCAAATCAGATAGCAAAGCTAAGATTCAAGAGTTGACCCTGAAGCTAAAAGAAATAAGGAAGATTGGAGGGGACAAGAATTGGAAAGATTGAGAATCCTTGCAAAATGTATTGGCACTAGCTCAATGTATTGAGGAGCAATTTTGGCAGCAGAAAGCTAGGGTAGTCTGCTCCGCGCCCCCGGCCCCGTTTAGTGGTAGGTTGGGCTTTAATTTTCTAGGCCTGCTAGTAAGCGGTCGATAGGGGCTGGCCCATTGATATTTGAAAAATAATCAGTCTATTGGGTCCAGTCTATTGGGTTAGTAATAAATAAAAAGCCCATTTCTTCAATTTATAACCCTTACGTTCTCGTTCCCATCAACACGCGAAAATAAACCCTGAAATTCAGACCCCAGTCGTCGGCCGCCAGCCACACTTCCTGTCGCCGACCGCCCGCCCGCTCGTTCCCGTCAACACTCAAAAAGCCCATTTTCTCCTAGGGTTTTGCTTTTCCCTTCCAAAGAACCCCTCCGGAGGTTAAATGGCGTCGCTTCCCGATGCGGACTCAATAGCAGCTTCTTGCGGGGCCTCAGAAAAGCTCAATCTTCCAATGCTGCAATCCAAGATGAAATCCGACCCGGAAGGCTATATTTCGGAGCTAAGCCTTGTTTACAATCAATTCAAGTCATCTCTTGAGCTCTATCAGCAGCAAGCCGCTTTGAATTTCACCTCGATGAGTGGAGTAGCCGCTGATAACACCGTTGCTAAGGATTTAGGTGATCGAGCCATGTTTTTGGCCCACGTTACTCCTTCATACCCGGAAGAATTGGTTCAGTTTCCCAATGAATTGGTTCAGTTTCTCAAGTCTTCGGCTCAGAACCTTCCATCACGTCTTAGGGTGCCTGTGACACAAGCTCTGATTCTTTTGGTCAATCGAAAGGTAGACTATTCAGGGTTTGTTGAGATAGTATTTATCTGCATTAATGTTGCATCGTGTTATAGATGTCATGGTTGAATTTAACTGGCCCATATCCTAATTGTCCATGTGTTCTTACATGTTTTCATTGGCTCTACAACACTGATTCCCCTTTAGTTTCATTTTTTAGCTGACTTTCTTTTGTGTCACTGTGCCATTTTGTGTTCGTTGCTGTTCTTACAAGAAATGTTATTGTCGGAAAATATGCATGTGTAATTGAAGAGATTGGATGCATAGAAAAGTAATGGTAGAATATGCTTGGTTAAGTTGAGACATCGGAGGTATAAAAATAAAGGTGTTTGTGATATTAAATGCGGATCATAGTTACTGATTGATTCCATAGGCTTTACAGAAGTCTCAGTGCATAATGCATGATACTCGATACAGATTGTAAACTTTATATCACTGTTTGCATTGCCAGGAGAAAACTATCTGCGTGCATTCTGTTTCTATGCCCCATAATCAATGACCATTGATTTTATTTATTTATTTATTTATTTATTTTTTGGTATTCAGATCATTGATATCGTGGACACACTTGCGGTGTTCATGGAGCTCCAGACAGTTGGGGATAGGACGCTAAAAACTCTGGCATTTTCTCATGTTATTCATAGCATCAGACGCATGAACCAGAAGCATAAGAATGATCCTAGAAACAAGGCACTTCAGAGTATTTTGTTTGAAATGCTGCAGGTATATTGATCTGTTTGTTAAATCCGATTTGTTTAGTTTTGTGGTATCTAAGGTAATGGAATTTTTGGCAAATTAGCAAGAGGACGAAGCAAAAGCAAAGAGAGCACTTATGACCTTGTGCGACCTTCATCGCAGAAAAGTTTGGTTTGACGAAAGGACGGCAAATGCTATATGCACAGCATGCTTTCATGCATCTCCAAGGTCCTTGTTCTATAGCTCATTATGGTATAATTGCATGAAGTGTTTCACCTCTCGTTCTGGCATCTGATATATGTATGCATGTTAATTTATCAGGATCATGATTGCTGCCTTGTCATTTCTTCTTGATTATGAGAAAATTGAAGGTGATGATGATACTGATGATTCTAGCAGTGAAGACGAGGCAGTGACCCCACAGCCTCATGTTGTACTGAGTAAAGAAGCTATCTACAAGGTTTAATGATTATCCCTGTGTCTTATCATCTCTTCTGTTGCATATGAATAGGGAAACTGACTTTGATCATGAAATGAATAGCCAAGTGGCTTGATGCAACATTATACTGTAAACTGTCAAGCATTTGACTTCTGTTTGTGAGTTCTTTTTCTGTATTTGCACCTCTGTTTTATCTAGGACTGGTTAAGTTATATACTGCGTCCTTGATGTATGCATCTTCTATAAATATCTTTCATGAATTTGTTAGAATTGGTTGCTAGGGATTTGTCCTGAGTCTGGTTGGTAATGCATCCATGCTCCTTTTTTATATCTTCTTTTGTGGATGTGAATATCTCATGGTTTAAATATTTATCTTTGCATCAGGCAAACCACAAAGGCACAACATCAAGCAAAAAGAAAAAGAAGGCAAAATTGCAGCGCGTTGTACGCAGCATGAAGAAGCAGCAGCGACTATCATCTGAGAACACTAATTCAAACTACTACTCACCACTAAATCATTTGAAAGACGCGCAGGTTTGTTACTTTATTGTTACTTGTTAACATATTGTGGTTTAAAGTGCATCAAAGATCTGAATCAATATCCTGCATGCAGGGCTTTGCCGAGAAACTGTTTTCACACTTGCAATCCAGCAAGGAACGGTTTGAGGTAATTATCTTCAGCGTATCACTTTTTACATGATGTCCCTTGGGTGTTCCTTGGAGAACTGTTATATCGAGCACCGTATGATATATTAAATTCGATCTTGTTACAGTCAATTTGAATACGCTACCATAATTAGGAAAAGCAAAAGAACATAAGTAGTACAATGCATAATTAAGTACAGATTGCAGAATCATCTTAAAAATTCTCGATCACAAGACTTCAGAAGTCATTAGCATGTATAATGACAAGACCAAACTGAAGCACGAGTCAATAACCAAGCAAAGTTGTAAACCACCAAGGAGAATAAATACAATGACTTCATCAAGATTCAAGTACAACAAGCCTGGTAGGCCGGGATAGAAGCTGGTTAGGTTGATGGTAGCAATGGGAAACTATCTTGGTTGCCTTTTGTTTTTTCTTTGAACCTAAACCCTAGTTTTTGCGTTCTCTGCACCGGGATGTGCATTTGAGGATGGGAGGCATATTTTATTTTATAAAATCATCTTAAAAGTGTTAAAGAGTAACCTAGCACTACTTTATAGTTGTCTAAGTAAAGTTTCTAAGGTTTTGTTGGCTGAGGCTTGCCCCATGGGCACTTCAGGTGATGTAAGGTGCCCTGGGCTGTTTCAATGGCCTCCGCGGAGGCAGGCATGATGTGGAATTTAAAACTATGTATCATGATTTGTGGTTGAGTCTCAGTTATGTCATTGTGGTGAAGCCTTATAAGTTTGTTACATAATGAATTGTTGGACGGATGAGAATATTGAATAATTTTAGGGAAAAAACTACTACCCATCCGTACTATCAAAATGCTCTTTTTGAGTTACCATATTGAATTTTTCTTTTTTGACAACCCACCATCGGAACTTTTGCATGATTTTCACTGGGAAGTCCTTGGTATGTCAAGCTTTTCTTTACAGCCAAAGCGGACTGCTGACGGTGGCAACTGCAGCGGCTTTTAGTTATTTTAAATACTCTATTGTTAAGTATTACAATTATCTGATTCTTTATTGCAGGTAAAAATGATGATGCTTAAAGTGATTGCTCGAACTATTGGCCTTCATCAATTGATTCTACTAAACTTTTACCCTCACCTTCAGAAATATGTCCAGGTATGTTGATATGTTACTCTTCTCAGGAATCAAACGGTTTTTATGTGTGCTAAGTTTGCTTATTCTCAATTGTAGCCACACCAACGTGATGTCATAAATCTACTTGCGGCTGCTGTTCAGGCCTGCCATGACATGGTAACTTCTGTTTCGTTAAGCTATTTTTCTTTTTTTAATTTTGATATCCTTTTGTGGGTTCTTAATCATGAATAAAAATACTTCACCATTCTTTTAAAGTGTGATTCCTAATAAGTGCGTGATTGAATGTTTGTACTAGGTACCACCCGATGCAGTTGAGCCGTTGTTTAGGCAGATTGTTAACCAATTTGTTCATGATAAATCACGCCCAGAGGTAGTGTTATATTTGTTGAGATATATTCCTTCTATTGTGAGTGTTTCGTTGATTACCTCAGTTATCGTTCCTCAGGCCATCACTGTTGGACTCAATGTAGTACGTGAAATATGCTTACGCATGCCTTTGGTATGCTCCTTTTACCACCATTAGCATGTCTTTAGCCTCTATCCTTCCATTTCATATCCTTTTTACCATGGTGTTGGTTCCTGTACTCACAGTTGATGACTGAAGATCTTCTGCAAGACCTTGTGTTGTATAGGAAATCAAACGAGAAGTCAGTTTCGTCAGCTGCTCGTTCACTTCTTACTTTATTTAGAGAGGTAACCTCTGCACTTCTCATTTTGGAAATTGTTAGTTCTGTCATTTACACATAAACTGACAATTTTTTTTTTTTTTGGCAGGTCTGCCCTTCTTTATTGATCAAGAAGGATAGAGGAAGGCATGCTGACACAAAGGCCAGACCCAAAGCCTTTGGTGAGGTGCATATTCCTAGCAATATCCCAGGTGTTGAGTTATTGGAAGAAAATGATGATATTAATAATAGTAGTAGTGATGAGGAGGACATAGAGAATAGGGATGTTGCCTCCACAGATGACGAAAGTGACAAGAGTGTTGGCACTGTTGAAGAAAGTGATAGTGATTATGGTCATGAAATGGATGACGACAGTGCTGAAGATGATGAAGTGTCCGAGGAAGACAATAAAAGTGTTGATGGTAATGATGCAAGTGAAATAAGTGATGATGAAGAGTGTGAGGAATTATCAGATGAAGAGCATGAGGAGTCCAGTTCGAAGAAGAGTGCCAATGGCAATGATGATAAGTTGATAACAAAGAAAAGGAAACTTTCTGATTTCGAGGGACAGCTGGATGCTGCCAATAAAAGTCTCCGTGCTTTGAAGAAATTAGCTGGAGCAAGTGGGAATGCCTCATCCAACATGGATGACGGTATTCTTTCTAATGAGGACTTCCAAAAAATAAAAGAGCTAAAGGTGTGTTCATAGTACTCAGAATAGAAGTTCCGTTTTAGCGTGCAATTTCAGTTTTGTGGTGCAGTTTATTAATTTCTCAAGGACGTTTATATTTAGGCTAAGAAGGCGGCCAAGGTCTCATTAACCCAGCATGGTTTCAAGCTTCCGAGCACAAACGAGCTTGGCTTGAAGAAGGTTGATGCCGCCAAACTTGAGGTAGGGGTTTTCCCATTCAGTCAGGTCATGTGTTTGTTCTTCTAGAGAAGCTAAATGGTGATTTGATAATAATACTAGAAACGAGAATTGACAGAAGTGGTCCAAAAAATGGATATGAGAAATTTAACCCTGTTTATGATAAATATACCCTCCTTTTATTTCAGGCTCACATACGGAGGAAGTTGACAAAAGAGGAAAAGTTGGCAGTGATGAGGGAACGACGTGAGGAGAGAGGGAAATATCAGTCGAAAACTGCAACAAAACAGAACAAGGTATGTTCTTTCTAGCTTGCTTTTATCAATTTTTTACACTGCTTTCTTTGGATCTTTTTATCTGGCCCCACGATTTGGTTTTAATTTTATACTGGAGGGGGTGCACGTGACTTGATCGTTAGCAAGTGTTTTTAACGACTGTGTGTTATCATTATTTGGACAGACTAGTGGTTTAACTAATAAGCAGAAGGAACACAAGAAAGCTATGCCTTTAGCTGCAAAAAGGTCCAAGATTGCCAAGTCTCGCCAAGCGAAGCAGAAACAAAGCAAACGGTCGGGCAAACAGTTCCGTGGAAGGAAAGCATGGAAATGATCTTCTTGCTTGTGCACCTTTATGGTTTCACTCTTATTTTTGGTTTTGGAAATAGGTGAGAGTTAGTAGTAGTATTTATATTTGTGTTGGCATCCAGACACTGATTTTCAAAAATCAGATTTTTATTATTATTTTTTTGGTTTTTCTGAGAATTTGGGCAATGGATGACTTTTCTGTTGTCAATCCATTTGAATTTTTGTGGGAATAACTTAAAAGAAAAGCAGGAAGTGTGATTCAGTGTAAATGCGAAAAGCTGAAGTTATATCCCCATTTCAGATTTGTAGATACCTAACTACAAGCCCGTGAGAAATCCAAGGAACACAGTTGATTCGGGGTGGAAATAATTCAGCTGTTACCCAAACCATGAAACATTCTGTTAACTATTTCATTT